GGACGGTGCAAGAGCGCTGCTGCTGCTGTGGCTGCTGCTGCTGCTGCTGCTGCTGCTGCTGGCGCTGACAACCCCCAGAGCTGCTCCGCTGAGACGAGCCACCCCGACCCCCGCCGCCACCGCCACCCCCGCCTCCACCGCCACCCCCGTCTCCACCGCCACCGCCCCCACCGGCACCCTCACCCCCGCCTCCTCCGCTACCTCCTCCGCCGCCACCTCCGCCTCCACCGCCTCCACTAGTACCTCCACTCCCGCCACCACCTCCACCGCCACCCCCACTCCCCCCGCCACCCCCACCTCCCCCGCCAGCGCCCCCTCTAGCTCCACCCGCTCCCTTGCCCCCTTTGCCCTTGCCATTGCGGCGTCTACTGCTGGGGGCAGACGCCGCACCGACCGACTCAAAACCAGCGAGGTCGGCCGCAGCGGCAGAGGCGACAGAGGGCAGCAGGGGGGAAGGAGAACACCCCTCAAAAATGGGGGTGGGAGGGTCACCCCGAGAGGCCCCTACAGCGACGATGCTCTTCTCAGCCGCTAGCAGGGACTCCTCAAGGAGGTCGACAGTGAGGGTGGTGGGACAGACAGAGAGAAACTGGTCCCTAACTACACGAAGGGACTCAGGGAGACGAGTGACGAGAAAGTAGAGAGTGATGTACATGGGAGGAGGGTTTGCGGCGCGGAACTCAGCAGGAAGGGCAGCGCGGTAGCGAGCGTCACTAGCGCGGAGGTGGGTAACGAGGTCAGCAACAGTGGGAAAGGCAGCGAGGTCAGGGAAGAGAAACGGTAGCATGAGGCGGCTAAGCGTAGCGGAGGAAGGGGAGGAGTAGCGTGCAACTACAGCGTCGTACAAGGCCTGAGCGGTCTTGCACTGACTAAAGTGGGCACGCTCGGAGGAAGGGAGGTGGCGACGCACAGCAAGACGTGCAGCAGCATCGCGGGTCGCCCACTTGGAGCGAACGGCGGGGTCAGCATCAGCAGGAGGGGCAGGGACAGCGCCAGAGACAAAGTCAAAGAGAGAGACCTCATCTATCGCATCACACAGTAAGTACAGCTGCAGGTCTTCAATCCAGACTGCAAAGTCAATGGCTCTACCCTCACCGTCAAAAGCTAAGACAGTGGGGGTGGCCATGACAGCAGCTGACAGTCTCACCGGGCAGGAAAAGTCGGGTAGGTCAGCGGCACTGTAACACAGCCCAGGAGCAGCAGTGGCCCCACAGGAGCAGGAGTGCGGCTCCACTGGCGGCTCGGGCGGCTCGCGCGGCTCGGGTGACGCAGGGGCTCACGGGCGGCGCGGGCGGCTGCACGGGCGGCTCACGGGCGGCTGGGGCTGCTCACGGGCAGCACGGTGGGCGGCTGCACGGGCGGCTGCACGGTGGCGCGGCGGGCTGCAGCACGGGCGGCGGGGCCGACGGCGGGCCTGTAGCGGGGCTGTAGCGGGGCTGTAGCGGGGCCGAAGGCGGGCCGACGGTGGGCTGTAGCGGGGCCGGCGGCGGGCTGTAGCGGGGCCGACGGCGGGCTGTAGCGGGACCGGCGGCGGGCTGGGGCGGGGCCGACAGCGGGCTGTAGCAAGGGCCGGCGGCGGGCTGTAGCGGGGCCGACGGCGGGCTGTAGCGGGGCCGACGGCGGGCTATAGCGGGGCCGACGGCGGGCTGGAGCGGGGTCTACGGCGAGCCGACGGGGTCTAGGCGGGGCCAACGAGGGGCCGTAGCGGGGCCTAGGCGGGCCGACGGGGCCTAAGCGGGGCCGACGCGGGGCCGTAGCGGGGCCTAAGCGGGGCCGACGAGGCCTAAGCGGGGCCGACACGGGGCCGTAGCGGGGCCTAAGCGGGGCCGACGAGGCCTAAGCGGGGCCGACAGGGCCTAAGTGGGGCCGACTAGGGGCCTAAGTGGGGCCGACGAGGGGCCTAAGAGGGGCCGACGAGGGGCCTAAGCGGGACCGACGAGGGGCCTAAGCGAGAGCACGGCGGTAAGGGCGATACGGAGGGTCGCTAAAAAAAAAAACGCGCGCCTCGGGGCGCGCTTCGGTGGGCCCTAGGAACAGTCCCTAGGAAGGGACCTGCTCTGATTCCATGAGAAGATATGAACGAGAATGGAATGACTATGAACGAAGTGAGTACAAATAGGAAACCCTAATTTGGGTTGTACCCCCTATGAGATACCCCACTATAGCCTACAGAAACAAGTAAGCTATATGTTCTGACATGCTCCTTCCATCATCAGTTCGAACTCGAACGACCAGGTGAAGAAGTCTTTTCCGTCGAAAGGCTTTGTCGTTTGCAACTTGAGAACATGCGCGAATTGCGATTGAACTTGTAATGCGTCCAATGCCCTTTCTTGTCCCGGTGCAGATTGCGGTTTTGGCATGAAGCTGACGGAGCCACGCTGGGGCTCGTACGGCGCAAAGGTAGGCTGCTGTTGTTGTTGTTGAATTCCGCGTGCGTAGGATGAGCCGTCGAGACTCATAGGAGTTACGTTGTTGTTGTTGTTGTTGTTTGACTGCGCAGGTACTCCTTGCTGGTGCTGCTCGTAGAAGGACATGAAGGAGAAGAATTTCTCCATCATGCTTGGATCGAAGCCTGCGGGCGTTTCCGTAGACCCAGCTGCTGGTCTCGTGGTAGTCCCTTCTTCCGTCTGTAGACCAGAGACAGGAGGTGGAGTAGGGGTAGTTCCTGGAGAACCGTTGGAGGAGCTCCTTTCCTTCCTAGTAGACATGTCTTCCTTGTATTAAGTATTAAGAGAAAAAGTAACTTTGAACTCTATCTGCTCTCATACCATGTTGGGCTGAGATGCCCTAGGCTCTTTGTAGAGTTAAAGTCTGAGTAGGATTGTAATAGCGGAAGCGTTTGAATGAAAAGTCCTTGAACCACCTTGCGCTAGTATGTGAGGGCAAAGTGAGTTGATTAAAACAAGCAAATACAAGGCTTTATATAAGAGTACAAGGAATACGAATAGATATAATTAAACTGTTTTGCTGTTGCGATTCGATACAGTGCGATTCGGGCAACTGCTCAATGTCGAGTCAGTTGTGTGTCCTTTCTTTCGCGTTGTATTTGTCAAGTCAAAGGTCGCTGACTTTTGACCTTCGCGTAACCTCCAGGCGGTTACCCTAACCTCCGAGGGTTGACTCGCGATGCTTCGATTTGGACTGCTTCGCTTGTGTCCTGAGTTTCGACACGATAGAGGCGCTTTAAGACTTATTGTTCCCAACAATACTGTCCCACGTCCGAGATGGCAGCTGACTACCTGACCAAGAAGCTCGGAAAGCAGAAGTTCGAATATTGCATGCTGCTGACTGGACAGAGCCACGTCAGCGACACTCCAGAAGCGAAGGGGAGTGCTGGAAACAATCGGTGCTAAGCGCCTCTGTCGTGTCGAAACAATAAGACACAAAAGAAACGAAGTATAACGAATCACCGACGAGTCAACCCTCGGAGGTTGAAAGTAACTGTTGGAGGTTACGCGAAAGTCAAAGGTCAACGACCTTTGACCTGACAAAGTATAGCGCGACAGCAAGGACAAACAACTGACTCGGTATTGAGCAGTTGCCCGAGTCGTCACTGTATCGAACCGCAACAGCAATAGTAGAACAGTTATTAACTGTATCTCTTCGTATTCCTTGTACTCTTATACAAGCTTGTATCTCTTTGTTTTAATCAACTTACTTTGCCCTCACATACTAGCGCAAGGTGGTTCACAACTCTTTAATTAACGCTTTCGCTACTACACCAACTCTACCCAGAGTTCACCCCTGCAAAGATCCTAAGGGTTTTTCAGCCAAACAGAACATACCCTGTCTACATTACGACTTGGCTTAGAAGCAGCATCTGAGGCATCTGCAGTCGGTGAGTCGCAACAGTCCTACCGGCGGTATCGTTAAACAGGACAAGGGAATAAGTGAATGTATCCCTCGGAACACATGGCTAGCTAGGTTTATATTAACCAAACATATGCAATGCTTTAATATTCTTTATATTCACGTTCACTATGATAAGGTCATTCAAAGACTTCCGCTGTCTTACCCAAAGGCCCTTATCATGTCCAAACGTTCCCCGGGTTATCACAACATAGGGTACTCAAAAGGTCAGTGGTATCTCTCATTCATCGTGGAGCTTCATTTTACCTAGCAGCAGTTGAAATCCGGTTTCCTAAATTCACATGTTTAAGCACTTCCGTCTTCACCTAGTTTCTATCGCGCTATGACGAGCACTTCCCGTAAGGCGTACGTGCTCCCCGAGACACACCTGCCTGGGCTGGTCAAAACCTGCTTTCCCGCATCCAGCGCAGCCAGTATTCCCTCATCCCACCCGCGCACTTGCCTCTTCCCGCCATAAGTTTTCCACGGGGAGTTAGCTGTGTCGGGTATTATCTGTGATATATCAGCAATCGTCAAGGCCAGTGATTACTAGTCAGTAGTACTGACTAAGGCTCCTCATCTGTCGGTGGCTTCCGTACCGCATTTCAAATTCACGACACGGAATGTATCGAAATTGATCGCTGGCAAGGCGATTCGGCGTCGAATCACGTTCGTCCATATTCAATCTTCTATAAAAAGCAGAGGCGTGATGGATTCTCTCGTAAATCACTCGAACTGGCTAGTGACAGCTTTTACTGCTTCCCTTGAGTACCGTGCTTCGGCGCTCTCGAATATACTCTGTGGACATTTCGACTTCGGCTAGAATCAGCATCTGAGACGCTACGATCCCAGATTCCGCTCTCCAATCGGTTGCTTGCTGCCCTCCGCTCTCACCTTGGAGCTTTCGCGTTCATCGACTTCACGCCACGCTGCGTCATGGCTTCCACGCGGCGCTTCCTGCTTCTCGCGCTGCTTGCGCTCGTCGCCACGGCCAGTGAGTCGCGTTCTCTCGTTACTTCCCAGGGTCCCTTTCGTCTCGTCATGCTTGTCAATCGTCTCGAGGTCCGTTCAGTCAACTCTGCGAATCCTCGCAGCATCTTTGTCGATTCTTGGCTCGAGTCAACGATTTGATTCGCTCCCCACCCGGGCTCATGCCCGTCTTGTTCCTTCATCCTCCCTCGCCGCCTCCCTTCCCTTCAGTCCTCGCGGAAGCCGCCGGCAAGACCCGGTCGCAGGCGACAACAGGCGAGGCGAGGGGCAAGGGTGCTAGGGCCAAGGCAGGGGAGGCGAGGGACAAGGCTGTTCCAACCAACAAGCGGGCGGACAGCTCCGGTGCGAGCGGATCAACTCCGTCTGGAAAGAAACCTGCCCGCTCGCAGCAGGCGGCAGTGCAGGCGGCTGGCAGCAAGCGGCAGGGGCAGCAGCAGACGATGGGCGTGAAGCAGCACAAGTCGTTTGATGGTCACATGGCGGCGAACGGAACTCGTGTGGCGGGAGGGAAGGGGCACGTGCATGGCACGAGGCACGTGAATGGCACGAGGCTGAAGCGCGGTGCTGCAGCTGGTGGTGGTGGTGGTGGTGGTGGGATGCACAAGGTTGGTGGCGGTGCTGGTGGCTGGCGTGGCGGGCGAGGAGGCAGCGTGATTGGTGAGTGGAATCGCATCATCGCACCACTGATGCTGACGTCTTATTGGTCACTTGTGGCTGACGAAGCGGGCGCGTTTCCAATGACTCTGTTATGTTCATTCATTGCTGCAGTGTGTCGCAAGGCGGTGGACTTGACGCCTTGCTTGCTTGCTTTCCCATGGCAGGTGTGGTGGGCGCGCGGATGAGTGGCGAGCAGATGGTGGGGTCAGCAGGCATGGCCAATGCCACGGGCCGCCTGGAGCTGAAGCTTGTCAAGTCAGTGCCGCTCCACGCTCCTTCTCTCCTCTTTCTCTTTTGCACCGCCATGGCTCTGCTTCTCCTTTCACTTGCTTATGAGCCCTCCTCTCTCTGCTCTTGCAACGCCTTCCTCTGCTGTCCACACTCCATCTCAGCCCTCCTGGTTTGGCCCTTCCTCCTCTCCTCACACCAACTCCTTCTCCGCCTTACCCTCCCCTTCCTCCTGTGTTGACCCTCCTGTGTTGACCCTCTCTCTTCTCTCCTCACCCCCCTTCCCCTCCCCTTTCTCCCCAGGACGGCCACTGGCATGGACGTGCACTACTCGCTCTCCCTCGCGCACCTCTCCTCGCCCTCCCCTCCCACCGCCGCCTCCATCCACGCAGGCCGCGCCGCCTCCGCCTCTGCCCTGCTGCTGCTCGCCTTCCCCGCCTCCGCCTGGACCAACACCACCCGCCCCTTCCATCGCGCCTCCAACGCCACCGCTGCTGCCCCCCCTGCGGCTGCGCGCTTCAGCTACGGCGCCAGGGGCGTGTGGGGCAACGCGTCGTCCCTCTCCGCCGCTGCGGGCGGCTCTGTGGCTGCGGCTGTGAGCACCATTCTCGCTGCCCCCGCCTCCTTCCACGCTCTCATCGCCACCTCCGCGTTCCCCCAGGGGGCTGTGCGCGGCCAGATGGCCAACATGACCCGCGGAGGGAAGTAGCAGCATGGGGAGAGAAGGGGGCGTGTGGTTGACAGGTGGACTACTGGCAGGGAATGAGAGGTGGGTTGGAACTAGGAGAAAAGGGTATCCGTGGCTGCTGATGTGCATGACATGTTAGAAAGGGGATTCTTGCAATGGGATGTTAGAAGACAGCCTACCATTGCCTCAGCACAGCAGATTCTTACAACATTTGCAAGGACACAGGGAGGAGGGAATGGCATCAGGCAGGAGTTGATGCTTGAGCTTTCTTAGGCATTTACTGTAGAATGCACCAGTGGTTGCGGAGCTTCTGCTAGTTTGTATGCAATCCATTCAAAAATACTGTGCAGCGAAACCAAGAGCCAATATAGGGTACTGTTACCACAAATTTCACCAGTTCTTATCCCTTGCTGGTGTGATTGTTGTCTGTCAGCTTCAATACTATGGTGGTACCACCAGACTGACTTTGGCTTCCACAGATATGATTTTTTTTTGAAAGTGTGAATCACTTTCTAAAAATAAAGATTGTGAAAGCGCAGCTGACTGTAGTGAAGCAAGGAACTGCGAATGCTTGTTCCCGAGTATATAACGAGGGTTGGAGGCCCTTTGACCTCTGTTGGGCTGAAAAACCCTTAGGATTTTTGCAGGGGTGAACTCTGGGTAGAGTTGGTGTAGTAGCGGAAGCGTTAATTAAAGAGTTGTGAACCACCTTGCGCTAGTATGTGAGGGCAAAGTTGATTAAAACAAAGAGATACAAGCTTTTATAAGAGTACAAGGAATACGAAGAGATACAGTTAATAGCCGTTTTACTATTGCTGTTGCGGTTTGATACAGTGACGACTCAGGCAACTGCTCAATACCGAGTAAGTTGTTTGTCCTTGCTGTCGCGCTATACTTTGTCAGGTCAAAGGTCGCTGACCTTCGACTTTCGCATAACCTCCAACAGTTACTTTCAACCTCCGAGGGTTGACTCGCCGGTGATTCGTTATACTTCGTTTCTTTTGTGTCTTAGTGTTTCGACACGACAGAGGCGCTTAGGACCGATTCTTTCCAACACTCCCCTTTGCTTCTGGAGTGTCGCTGACGTGGCTCTGTCCAGTCAGCAGCATGCAGTATTCGAACTTCTGCTTTCCGAGCTTCTTGGTCAGGTAGTCAGCTGCCATCTCGGACGTGGGACAGTATGACAGCTCGAGCCTTCCCTTCTCGATCTCCTCCTTCACGAAGAAATATCGCAGGGCGATGTGTTTCGTCCTGTTCGCGAAGCCGTTCTTGTTGGCGATGCAAATTGCCGACTGGTTGTCGCAGAACAGGGTAAAGTTGGGTAACTCGGCTAACTTCGCTTCTTCCATCAGCTCGTGAAGATAGAGTCCTTCCTTGGTGGCTGAGCAGAGTGCAATATATTCTGCTTCAGCTGACGAGAGAGCAATTTATTCCTGCTTGCTCGACTGCCAAGAGATAGGTCCGATAGGTTCGAGGCGGTAGATGTAGCCGGTGCGGGAGCGCATATTCTCGGAGTCGCCAGCGTGATCAGCGTCGACGCACCCGATTAGCTTAGTCGGTGTGGTTGCGTTATTGTAGTAAGTTAGGCCGATCGTTGGGGTGCTGACGAAGTAGTGAAGAGCGCGGTAGAGCTCCACCAGATGTTCTGCTTCAGGCTTCTTGAGGTAGGTGGCGAGCTGGCTTGCGGAGTATGAGAGGTCGGGGCGACAGGTGACGGCTGCGAAGATAAGACATCCCAGCTTCTTCTGGTAGTCTCGTATGCCGGCGGGCTTGAGTAGAGCGGAGCTTCCTTTGTCGTTCCCTGCCGTGTAGCGGTATGGCGTGGAGATGGCTGTCGGTGTGAGCGTAAAGCGTTTGGCGATGGTGTCGGCATATTTCTCGGCGCTGAGGTAGATCGCGTCCTCCTCTTCCCGGATGTTGAGGCCGAGGTACAGAGTGACGGTAGATGAAACTGTGAGCGTGAGATCTCGCTGCAGCTCCCCTTCGAACCAGGTAGTAATGCCGTCATTCGAGCCGATGTAAAGGAGATCGTCCACGTAGACGATTAGTAGGATGTAGTCGTCGTTGTTTGTGAGCCGGTACATGCCTTGATCGTGCGGTAGTTGCTTGAAGCCGATGCGGATGAGGCGAGCGTGCAGGTACTGTTGCCACAGTCGCGGAGCCTGCTTGATGCCGTAGAGTGACTTGAGTAGCTGGCAGACTTGGTTGGGTTCTCTGTGGGAGCCGTGCGGTAGCTCGACGAAAATTTCTGCATCAACAGGTGCGTAGAGAAACGCGTTCGCGACGTCAATTTGTCGCAGCTTCTTCTTCTTCATGGCGGCGATTGCGAGGAGAATGCGTAGTGAGGTGTGGCGGCTAACCGGAGCGAAAGTTTCGGTGAAGTCGCGTCCATGTTCTTGGTCGAAGCCGCGTACAACCCAGCGAGCTTTAAATTTGTCAATGGTGCCGTCAGCCTTTGTCTTCACACGGAAGACCCACTTCCCGGTGAGCACTGTCTTGTTCCGTGCCACGCCGATAGGAACCACTTTCCACGTGTTGCGTTCCTCCAGTGCCTTCAGCTCCTTGTCCATGGCTTCGCGCCATTTTTCCTTATGCTCCCCCCCCAGAGCCTTTTGAACCGTCGCAGGCTCTTTAGGAATGGCGGTGCCGTGGACTGCGGTGACGAGTCCGAGAATTTGCAGTCCACTCTGTGAGTAGCGGGGAAGATTTGCGTCCTCGGGATAAGCTGCTTCATCTCCCGCTTCTGGATCAGGTATGAATTTGGGTCCTACTCGTTCTGCTTCGTTGGTGTTGACTGTCGCAGGTGTTACGTAACCGTTGTCGGCGAAATAGTAGAAGGTTTCGGCGTTGACACTTTCGCGAGGGTTATCTTCGTCCATGGGAACGTCGACGGAGCAGAACGGAAGAGGTCCGGCTTCTTCTGATGCGTTGTCCACATTCTGCTCGTCCCAGTCAGCATCGTCCGCTGCTGAGGCGAAGGCTCGCTCACCGCGAAAACCACCTGTGGGATCCTGGTCTTCTTGCAGGTTGGCAAGGTATGTCTGGAGCGTGAGTCGTTCGTAGAAAATTACATCACGTGCTGCTACTGTTTCCTTGGAATGGACGTCGAAGATTTTCCACGCGTTGTAGTTCTTTTAGATTCCCTGGTGTAGTCCCCACTGTGCTCGTTGAGAAAATCGGCCCGCTCGTGCTGCTGGGGGTCGGTACTGTACCATGCATCTGAATACTCGTAACATTTTTGTGCTGCCCTATTTCCCTGTCCATAGCAGATGCGGTGATGCGTTGTTTGGAAGCGATGATGACGAGAGCAAGTTGTGCAGCATGACGGCGTGGTCCATTGCCGCAGGCCACTGGTGGTTGGGTAGCTGCATGCCACGTAACAGTTTGCGCATGCTGTTCTGCAAGGTCCTGTTCATTCTTTCTGCTACACCTTGCTGCTGATGGGCGTAGGGAAGGGAGATGAGCCGCTTGATTCCCCTTTCCGCCAGGTACTGCTTGAATCGCTGAGAGGTGTATTCTCCTCCTCCGTCCGACTGGAAGCTTTTCAGTTTCACGCCCGATTCTCTCTCTGCTACTGGTAGCCAGGCAACGAAGGCTGCGAATGCCATGTCGCGGCTAGGGAGGTTTAGGTGCCAGACGTAACGGGTGGCGGCATCGATGAAGGTGAATGTATAGTTGTATATTACTTGTCCTAGTTCCCGATTGTACAGGATATCGCTATACACCTTCTCGAGTGGTGCGTATGCGGGTGCGCTCGGGTTGTGATGAGACGCAAACGGTCGATGTGGTAAGTCACCTTCAGGGCAGGTGAAGCACGTTCCGCGTACTCGTTGAAGTTCTCGTCCGTCGGTCAGTAGGAGTGAGTCCTTGTCGAGTACTCCTGCTCTTATCGTATTGTTGAATACTGTGTTTCTTGGGTGTCCCATCCTTGCGTGCCAGGTGCTTTCGTCGGCGTGATGTCCGGGTGATCGTCGGTACATATCGGAGTTGGAGTAGAAGTTGGCGCTACGATGAACTTCTTGTGGTGCTGGGTGTAGTTGTTGCGCGGGTGTCGGTGGTGTGTCGTCGATGAGGAGCGGTGTCGTTGAAGGACCAGCAATTGGTGTTGACGTTCCTGCTGCTGCCGTTGATGGTTCTACTACTGCCGATGTTGTCTCTGCTGCTGCCGATGTTGTCTCTGCTGCTGCCGATGTTGTCTCTGCTGCTGCCGATGTTGTCTCTGTTGCTGCTGATGTTGTCTGAATTGTTGGTAACGCCCTTGTTCTTTCTGCTTCAGGGATGGTGTGTGAATACCAGAAGCCTTCTGGACTGAAGTCTGGATCAAGGTCTGGAGGGTGTGTCCAGTTGGTGAAGTTAACGATGGCGTCGCTGTCGGCGGTGCCAAGATCAGGAACGAAATCGAGAACGAAGACGTTGCTCTTGAGGACCGCCTTGCCGATGTAAAGTCCTCCTCTCCCGTGATACAGCTTGAATTCTTGGGTGGTGCTGTCTGCTTCGAGGTGAATCCCTTTCGCCATTAGCTGACTGACGCTCAATAAGTTGTAGCTGAGTCCCTCCGCGATTAATACTTTTGACATCTGCAGTATAACGTTTGTTTCCCTTGACTGAAGTTGAACTACGCCTTGTCGTCGTGTTCGCAGGTTCTTATTGTTGGCGACTGTAATGACAACTTCGCATTGAAGTTGGTGTTCTCGTTGAACGAAGCGTCCCGAGGAGCACATGTGCTGTCCGCAGCAACTGTCCAAGAACCATGTGTCCTTTCCGGATGGTTCGCTTTGGGCGATGGCGGCGTATGTCGGATTCGGCTGAAGTGACTTGCGGCGGGATGTGGTTTCGTCGAGTTGTTCTTCCGGTGAGTAGTGTGGTGGTGACTCGGTGATGCAAGAGTCACTCAGCTTTGCCATGCAGCTGACGATGTTTCTTCCTCCTTGTGCAGGTTGTCCCGTTGAAGTCGTTGAGGCTTGAATCTGGGTCGTGGGATTTGCTTGCGTTGAGGCGATTTGGCTGCTTGAAGGTCGAAG